ATTTATGTCCTAATATCAAAGCAATGGATTTTACTTCTTTTTAGTGCCAAACCCTTGAGAGTTTGTAACCTGGTGACTTTATCACATTTTCTCAGGATTTTAACGATCATGTTTGACCTTTTTTGTGAAATTGTCAAATTTCTGAATTTAGGGTGTCTTTAAAACTTCTAAATTTTCACTCACAGCATATAAAAAATGTTTCCATCATCTTTTGCGTTAATCATTAAAGGATTGCTTGTCCAATTTGACTGGAACTTTGTACACACACAAAGCATGGATGTCTGCACATACTTGCTAAATTTCAATAGCAATGTCACTGTATTGCATGCATCACCTACAAAGCAATTTAAGAGAAACTTCATTCAAAACAATCAAACTTGTCCTTTACAGAAATCAAAGTCTTCTACCTTGACTTCCCCTTTCCTGATCTGCAATGATCGCAGAAGCTGGTTTTCTGCCTTTCTGAAGGTCTTATGCAGCTGGTCTTGAAGCAGACGCTCTTTCTGTAAGTTTAGTTGCTGTCAGATGAGAGCAGACACATCAAGGATGATAAAGAATTCTCTGAGACTTCTCACTGTCATTCTTAGGTACTTCATGAAAATTTTTCACAACTCGTCAAAGGTACTTTGACAAGCACTTTCACTATCAGTGAATAAGAAATGACAAAAAGGTATCGCACTTCATGTCAATAACAACAGCTTTTTGCTGAGACTGCTATTGGAATGTACTGTGAAAATTTCTGATCACTTGTGGAGAAATTGGAAGCACTTGGAAAGTCCAAAACACCCAATATGCAAAATTCACATAAATATATACTTCAAAATAACCCCCATGCCAACCAGTTTCTATTTTTGACATCTTACCTCCCTGCGAGACAGAGCTTTACGTTTCTCCTTCATTATCTTGGTCACATGACCTTTGGCCTTTTCTTCTCGAAGAAGGATGTCCTCCTGGTGTCTGCGAGCCAAGATGGCTTCCTGCTGCTGGAATGCAATGTGCTCATCTCGAAGTCGTCGCTCCTCTTCCTGAGATACAAAAGAAATACTAAATTGGACACTCTGGCGCTATTACTAAAATGGCTGTGGCAACAGAAAGCTTCAACAAAATTAACTACTGGTTTCAAAACAGAGGGTCATATCATGATCAGGCACTAGGAACAAATTTCACAAAGCTACCATGGCAAACTTTTGATGCTGAAAGATTTCACATGATAATTTCAGGTTAGGCTAAAAGAAAAAAGTCTCTGCCATAGACCTGTGCGTCAGCAAACTAAAAAGGTTTCTTATTTGGTATAAAATAATTTCCAAATGCTGCCAAACTTGTTTAACCGACTGGAATCCTGACACTGCATAATTTTATTGTGTTTTTGATGGAGTACGGTTGAGTAATATGTACAGTAAAGGAGTCCCCGTAGTTCTCCATACATTTAGTCAGGCACTCTTCGTCAGATGACGTCATTTCTGCATTATACATTTACATCTGGGAACTAGACAAACGAGGTTGTCTTATGCCCTCTGTACATGTACAAGCTGAAAATGCATTTCCAGAAAAAAAAAGTGACGGGAAAAAACAAGCCGAGTCACCACACTCCTTTCGGAGCCAGCTCCAGACCAGAAACCAAAGACTTTTTTTGGCCTTAAAATAACATCTTGTTAATTTCCGTATGATACCTGGACTTCTTCCAGTGAGATGTTGCCAATCATCAACACGTCGTCCCTGATGGTATCATCAAACTGACTGATGTAAGGATCAATCTCTTCTTCTTCCATCTCCTGACGAAGCACTGAGATCTTCTTGTAGTTAGGCTCATGTTCCGGCCGTTGGAAGAAGGATGGGGGCGGAGCCTCCGCCTCCAAATCTGACTCCCCGCCATCTAGGGTGTTCATGAGCTTGTACAGGTCAGGCAGATCACTTCGCTCTGGAGGTTCTGTGTGGAAATAAAATATCACTTTCAAAGCAATCATTAAGCCTGACTAGAAAAAAGTTGCGAATCACACATGAAAAATGCAATCTGCAAAATCTTCTAAGGCAAACTTTGGAAAAGAGCAATTTGATGAGCAAATACAGGCTACCAACTCTAATGCAGTGTAACTCTACACTGTGTGTAACTGGTGCTCAGCTAATTTTGGCATAGCAGGTAAATTTGCTTAGAGGTACTGTGACTTACTTGCTCTCCTAAATTGGCTAACATGATAGGACATTTTCTGAAATCAATTTTGGTTACTGCTTTTGTTAATTCATCCAAATGAGATGACTTATCTTTCTCACGTACCATATTGATATTCCTCGTCAGACAGGTAGTCTATGCCCATCTCCCGTGGGTCAATGTTGTCAAAGTCTCGGCTGCCGAGGTCCAAAGTGCGAGGGGCCGGTTTAAAGATTGGCTCTTCGTCTTCTTGTTCAGGAAGTTGGGGAGGGGAAGGGGTCCTTACCCCCATATCATCATCTGAGACAGCACAAGAAATGAACACTGATGGTTGAAAATGATACTTTACAGAATGCAAGCAAAGGTGCATCAACTGCGATAACGTAACCCTAGAAATGCAAAAAACCTTCCAACTTATGAAATGAAGGAATTCATAAAATGACGACATCTGATGATCTCATCATAATGATGTCATCATGATGATATTCTTCTAGAACCATCTTTGCAACAGGGTCTTTGCTTGGTTAAGGTTGGATCAAGGTGTAAGCTTGCAAAGTGGCTAAAGTCCTGCACAGAATAAAACTTTGTAAAAAGTCAGTGGGATTTTGCAGTGAAGAATATGAATAACAAAGTTATGGAAGAAAAAAATCTGAATAAAAAAAAGTGTCTTTTGCAAAATATTGTGGAAAAGCCAAAAAATAGATAGAAAAATACCACAGATATTTCTGACATTTTTATCCTCACAAAATTATCACCACATGTGTAATAATTCTGCAGAGTCCTTGAAGATGTTGATTAGGCTTTGCACGAGGGAGGTTTTAATTTCACTCGAAGTGAAAGGCAGACTCTTAAGGGAGCTAAAAACCAAACAGCACTAACTTTGTTGGTGTGATATTGTAACTTCAACTATGCCCACGTACCTGTTGTGGCAGCGGAACCATTGGCAAGAGCAAAAGTGGTAATTTAGCCCATGGATGCCCATCATCATTAGGCATGGTAGCCATGGTCATTAAATGAATATTTCAACTCGTCAAACTGTCTCAGAAACTAATCTGCATCCCAACTTACTAATCTTACTAATCCCTAAGAAATCAGTTGGCAACCCAAAGATAACAATGTGTCTCCATGCCACTCCCTCGTCCCTGTTTCAGCTGGTTGATTTCTAGACATTACTGTTTCTAAATTCTGCTGTAAGTACATGTAAGTTTTCTAGCAATGTTCATCACTAGCATGAAAGACTGTGCTTTCTACAGAAGTGAGTGGGTCTCACCAATGAGAATATTCTAAACTACACACTTACATGTAACAGTCTAGGCCAGTTATGAATTCACAAATTGTGCACACTTGAAGTTAACAGAGCTTTTTGTCAATATCTGTGAAGGATTTTACACTGCACGGTTAGATACACTTCAAGGTCAGTTAACACTTTAAGAAGTTTTCCAAAAAGTTTCCAAACTTGGAAGGTCCGCTGACTGATATTATGAAACACTCTTCTACTTCTTTGAGGACAACCCAAGAGCATTTTCAATCAGGGCTACGGTTGTCTATATGCAATATACTACAGTACTTGACAATGACTGACGTAGTATAGTCAATTACATGTATCTGACACCAGCCAACTGAAAAGGGCTGTATCAATGGCAATCTGAAGGCAATCCAGACAGTGACAGCGAGACAAACACAAAGCAATCTTAACATTTTACAATACATAATGCAGAGACTTTGACAATGAATTGAATGGTTTTAAGTACTGATAATGTATGAGCTTAATGTTAGATTTAGGTACATTTGATGTGAGTGCTTACAGAGTTAGAAGATTGGAGCCCTGTATCTTGTAAGTACAATAACAAAGCATTACACTACAATTACAATGTAGATGTTCAATCAGAACTTCAAGCTTTTCTGCACTCCTGAAGTTTCAAGAAACATGAACTTGTCACATATGCGTATGCTGCGAGACGTGAAGTTAAAAAAAACATGGGATTAGACAAAAAATATTACAGTCGACAAAAAAAATCACAGGATGATGTCATCATGATGTCACAACAGGGGACACATGCTTTGCAAAGTTCCCCTTTACAAACAAAAGTATCAACTGAATTTGATTTTCTAAACAGGCACTTAAAATAAAAGAGTAAACATTCAAAAATTAATACAAATTCCAATGATGTCATTAGGACGTCATGTCAAAGATTTGAGATTAGTTTCCACTTACCATGTGATTTCACTTTGATGGGACCTTGATTAGTATGTAAATCAAAATCTGATCTTTTAAACAACTCATGAATGTATTTGTACTATCCACAGTCTTGCAAAAGGAATTTTGAAAATACATTTACCTTTTGTTTGAAAGATAAGGCAAAGAGGCATGTTAGAATACAATGCTATCAATTTGAGACCCAAAACATGCAAAATAAAACTTTGCCATCTTTTAATTGCACTCTAAAGATATAACTTGTGTTTGAAAATTATTGTTTCAATGTAAGTGAATTTGAAAAACGAATGACTGTTTTCATTTATTTTGTTTTTACACTAAAGACATGATTTTGTACAGCTCGACTGATGAACACAAACCTTTGGCTGGAGATGGAACTCTCTCCACATCCCCATCCTCAAGTGGTACATCCTGTTCTGTCGATGTGGCCTCCACTCCAGGCTGGTCCTCAATCGTTATCACAGTCTCGGCCTTAGCCTCCAATGCAGGCTCAATCGATGGACCATCTTCAGGTGTTGGTTGCAAGGGCTTCTCAGGGGAGACACCGATTGGTTCTGGTGATGGAGACTTGGGCTTTGTTTCAGGAACTGTACAATTAAAGACAATCATTTTTAAATGAACTATACATAGACAAAATTCCTAGTTACATATTTCTGAGAATGAATTCATTTTTGGAAGCCATCCTGTTTCACAGATGGTCACCTTACAAGATGAATAATTACATTGTACTTTTCAAGTTATCAGAATAATTTTTAGCACTTGTTCTTTACTGATCAGTAATCAAAATATTTGGATATTACGGCATCTTTAGGGGTGAAAAGTGAAAGATAGCTACTACTTTCAGAGACTTACCATCCTACTGGTAAAAGTGCCAAAAGATGAGTCTTGAAACCAAAGAATCTTGGATGAAAAAAATGGCAGTCAGGCCAAACTCGACTTTTAATTTTCACTGTACATTAACTAAACCCTGAGAAGAAAGTAACAAAGTTCATTTCCAAATTGATTCCCAGTTGAACAAAATTGAAAAAAAATGACCAAAGGTGAGGACGGTCAGAGCATCCTGGCCGAAACATTTAGTTACTACTCACCGGTTCTTCTCAGAACCACACCTCTTCCAAAAAGATGCAAAGCTTCAAAGTTCAAATCTAACTTATTGGCCATGTAATTTTGCTAAGGTTCCTTGAAAGTTAGCAAACTCTCTTCACACTCACTAGGAATGTCAGTCACTGCCTGGTCCCCAGGAGACAGCTCCTTCTCGGTCACTTCTCGCCGTTTTTTCTTCCCACCTTTAGCCTTTCCCTTCTTCCCTTTTTTCCTAGGAGCAGGATCTTCCTCCATGATGTGTGGGATGTGTCTTTGTTTTCTACTTCAGAGTCTAACAACTGCAAAGAATAACTGAAAAGTGTAAGCCCCTACGCTAATGCACCTACCAATTTTTACAAGTACTTAGGCCTAGTACTACTACTAGGGAGGCCTTGGCGTAGGGCCTACGAACCCAACTGATGTAGGCCATAGTACGGTGTGGAAGTACGATCATACATGCATAGGGTCCAATAGGCCTACTGCTGAAAATTCAAAGCAGTGGATATTTGACCAGTTTTTGGTTCTGATATGATTTTGATGCTGTACCAACATGGCAACTGAACAAGCTTATCAAGTGTGTTTTTGGGATCGGCCTGCTTAAAAATGAAGAAGACTGATCCCGCGTATCCCCCGCGCCGTTTTAAGTGCGCAGGCCAAGTTTCATCACACCATCATTTATTATATATCCTGATACAAACTCCTCAAACACAACCATGAACACTCCTAACATGTATCAGTTTGCAAAAGCCTTCAAAATTACAAATTTTCGATACGAAAGTCGAAATATTCCACGTTAAAAACCGCACACAACTTACGACGTCAAACTTTTCACTTCTATCCTAGGGCCGCCATATTGTATTGAGTATCCCAGTGAACAGTGACGTCAATGCTAATGAGGAGGACAGAAAAGTTTGCAAGTTCGGCAGCGCTGCATGTGATTTGAAGCTCAGAAGGTCCACAGCTGCAACTTAAAGAAACAGTTAATGCCACAAACTGAAAAAAGAGGGGTTTTTTTTCATTTAAAACAAGAGGAGACGGTGAGGCTGTAACATTCTTACAAAACAACAAAAAGTAGGGGCGGACGCAGGAATTTTCAGGGGGGATCAGGCTCGTCAGATTTGTTTGTCTGACTGTACATGTGGACTGCACATGTTGCATGTAGCCTGAAACAATACGTAATGCATTGCATTATTACTGATGCTTTTTTTATCTGTGTGGCCGTGCAGGATCCTTGTCATAACTCTCACCACGTTCACATAGGCCTACTCACCCTTTCAGCATGTCAGTCAACGTTGGTTTCTTACCAAATTGTTATTTACATTGTTTGGTGCGGGAGCAGATAAGGCAGAGGGGTGTCCCCGTTCCCCTCCTAGATTTGCGCCCCCAAAGGTAAATAAAAACGGCGGTTAAGATATGTTATAAAGTGACTAAAGATGTTGTCTTTTCCGTCTCCCCCAAAACCTCAGTCCCTTTATAAAAATATATCTTCGCCACCGTTTTTATTTACCTTTTCAGGCGCAAATCTGGAGGAGGGGATAAGAATTTACCTTGAATTGGAACTGTGCACCCATACAACGTCGTAGAGGGCGCCATGATACGATGTTTAGTCTTTTTCAAGACGTTACTTTCGCGCTCCTTCGACATGAGTCTCCTCTATTTGTTAGCAACGTGACGTCATTCATTGGAAACCGTGTACACAACACGCGTTCAGTTTGTCCCATTCATTTTACTTGGAGAAAGCTGACGAAAATGGCTCTCCCATTTCTACCGGGAAACACCTTCACAGATCCTACGGTAAGAATATTCAGTAAATGTTGGTAAGATGAAGTTTGCTCGAGATGAAGAATGGATGCGGCTATTTTGTGAGGAAAGATTTTAGCGTTCTTTAGTGTGGTGTGAGGACCGGTGATCATGTTCGAACGAATTTGGGGACCCTGTGCTTATTACTACTAGTACTACTAGTACTAGTAGTAATAAGGCCTACTAGTACTGAGAAAGCTACTTCCATTTTAACTTTTGAATTCACCTTGGTAGTTCTAGGCCTCCAAGATGACTGTGACATCATGCTCAATAACTGTAGGGTTGATGTTGTCACAAAAGACACAATTTACAATTTGAAATTTCCAAAAAAATAGGGACAGCGCAATAAAGGGGAGATTGTAAATTTGGGGACCTTGCTCCTATGATAGAAAGAAGGGAGAGCTAGGCCTGCATTTTAACTCATGCTCAATAACTGTAGGGCTGACGTTATCAAAAAAACTAGGGCAGGGTTTTGAGGAAATTAAGAGGGGAAACCGAGTGTTTTAACACATGATACGTGGTCATGACAGTGGATTCAAACTTGAGTTGCATGGCTAGTTTATCAGTAAGAATGTCACATTTCCTCACAGTTTACAATGTGAAAAACTCGATTGCAGAATACCTGCCACCCCACATAATCAACCTTATAGCCAGGTACAGGTCAAAGAAAGTATCACACTCTTCTCAAGGGATTTCACCTTGTACTCATGCAACCAGTCATTCCAGGGGTCCTTTTTTAGAGTGGCGGGGTATTCTGCAATTATTTCATTTCAAATTTCAAAAAACGAGGTCAGTGCAATCAAGAGAGTGTTGCCTTTCATACTCATGGCAAGCCTGTATGTAACATTAGTTGCTTAGGTGGTGGTCCGGTGGTGGGGTTAAGTCACTTTAATCACTTTAATTAGATTTTTTTTTTTACAATAGGTGTATACTTTGAGACCCAAGTCATTTTTATATGAACAGCAGATTATATAGGGAAATGTTTATGTTACTCAGGCTAGGCCTGAGGTTAGCTAGATGGGCTAGGCTAGGGAGGCTAATAAATTTTTGAATTATTTTTTTATGTTATCATTGAAATTATCTTGAAGAAGATGTCATAAGAAATATTTTGATATAAATTTGGATTCAATCGGACTCTGCAAAGCAAAGAGAAATCAATTTGAATCAGGGATGTTTTGAGATGTTTTTGTACATGTGCAATGCAGAGCAAACTGTGATTATTTTGTACACAAAAATCAGTGTGGATTTTACAACTGAAAAGCTCAAAATTTATGTTTTTGTACAATCTTTGTTCTTATTTTGTGCCTTACTTCAATGAATTAAATGCTGGCTTCACTTCAAATTTCAAAAATTTTTAAATCAAAAACTAAATACAGGAGCTACTTGTAGGCCTACAGCATGCAAAAAAGAATTTCAAATCACAATTTCCTCAAAAAAATGACTTTCCAAATAAACAGTGCCCTCACTCGTTTATTCATGTCCCTAGTCAGGCAAAGCTTTAAATCTCGTGAACTGAAAAGAGTCTTAAGAACTTTTCCTTTTGGCCAGGCTGACTTAAGTTTGACTTTCAGTTGAAGTATTGAGTTGTAAAAAGGAACACAAATCCAAGCATTTTCTTCCATTGGAGCCTGAGACCTTCATCATACCAACTTGCTCTTGAAAACATCTGTGACATCATTTTTTTCAACCAGCTTCTTTGTGAACGGACATATATCTGTTGTGAATTAATAATGGATTTTAATTTGATCATCCATCTGCAGAAGAGAAGATTTCACAGATCACAGTCCTTGGGCTACAAGAATGGTTATGCTCTGGCCAACCGACCCGAGGTGGGCATAGGGGGAGAGCCCCTGGAGGTCAACCAACTCTCACTGGCTGAACTGGAGGAACTCAACAACAAACGACCAACGCTGACCTACGGCCAAGCAAAGCAAGCCCCACCTGAAGATTTCATCCCTGCCCATGTTGCATTTGACAAGAAGGTCTGTTTCCCTGGTTACAGAACCTTGCATAGTTTCCAGGACTTTTTACATTTACGTTTGCAAAAAATAATCTCTACTTTACTGTTTGATGACTATATAAGTCACCTTTCCTGAAACTTTTGACTGAAACCTTCTCGCTTGGCTTCAGGAGAGAGTGTTGTTTTCAAGTTATTTTACAAGCAATTTATGTTTGCATATGAAAACAATGCCAGATACCACAATCTTTTGTATTTTGTCTGCAATGGAAACTGAACAGTCTTTCTAGCTGGTTTTCGTTTTTAAATATCTCAGTTTTGTTTGGCAGCAGTAGTGCATACTGTTCTGTTAGCGTGTTTTCTCATCGATGTGTTCTTGTTGAGTCAATTTTTGTATTTCCGTTAATTTTACATTATTTTCTTTTTATGTGGGAGGCTGCAATCTGCTGTCCTCTGCTGTAATGTAGTGTTGTGTAGAAATAACACTGTCCTGCAAGCAACTAAATATTAACTTGATTTATTCCACAGGTGCTGAAATTTGATGCCTACTTCCAACAGACCGTCCATGAATCTAGGAATGAATATTACCGGGTACGACCTGTCATTATTTATTACTACTTGGAGGATGACAGCATCTCGGTGGTTGAACCTCATGTCGAGAACAGCGGTAAGAAATTGTACTGTAGTCACGAAATAGTGAAAATATGCAAAAGTAGCTCAAGAATAAGAACAACGAAACGACACAGTTGTCCTTTTTTTTCAGAATATTCAATCTTCAACGGCTCTTGCCCCAATCTAATGAATTCATTTTAACTCTGAGATACAAATGTAACTTAATTGTATAGAAACCATGTAAATATGTTAGATTTGGTTGAAGTGAATGTTTTTGTTTTAGGTTGAAGACCATACTACATGTGGAACAGAAACCTGATTACATCTTTCCAATCATAATTTTAAAATGCAATTTTTTACAAATTTGTTGTTATTTTTGTTTGTGTTCCTGTTGTAGGTATGCCGCAGGGTAAGTTGATCAAGCGTCAACGTCTGCCTAAGAACGACCAGGGGGACCACTGGCATTGGAAAGATCTGAACGTAGACATCAATGTGACATTCTACGGCAAGGTCTTCCACATCACGCAGTGTGACAAGTGGACGCAGGTTAGTGTGACCCTTCAGTCACTCAAAATGTCATTGAGCAAAACGAGTTTAAGACCATAGGTTGTTCTCGGCATTTCAAATTAAAGTTATGTTTGGCTACAGTTATCTAATGTTACATCAAATTCAGCGGAATTTCCATTTCACCTCAACAGTAATCATTTTAATGTCATTCAGGTGCCCAAAATGATGCTAATTCAAAGCTTGACCTTTTTGTTAACCCAAGTTGTTCTCAATCCTTCTCCTAGGAATACATGGCCAGTGAAGGCATTGAGCTTAACCCCCCTGGGGTCTTACCATCTGACCCCTACATCGAGTCTCGCAAGGAATCGGCTGCTCTCCGCACCTACCAGACCAAGTCCACTTTTGACAAGCTCAAGCAGTTCCTGGACCTGGACCGAAAGGTAACCTTTTTGAAGATCTTCTGAGAATTGTTCAACTGTGCTAAAATTTGGAGTGCCATCATGTGATGTTTTGGTGGTGTGTCCTTTTATCCAAATGTCGAGATCATAGATATAAATCAGAATTTAAATTCCATCATGTAGGCATTTTGTTTTAGCCAATTCAGCATTCAGAAAGTTTAAAGCATATGCTTGATTTGCATTTCTCATGTGTTTTTAGTTCAAAGGGATAAAAAGTTTGATTGAGATTAAGGAACAACCTTCCAAGTGGAAACCAAACTTCCAAAGTTTGATGAGAACAGTAAAGATCTGTTCCTGTCAATAAAATCCGATCCTGACGTGAACAAGTAAAATTGTTTGGTGTTCTTTATGACAATCTTCAACCATGCTACATTTAATTCCTATAACTTTTGTTTGCCCCTTTAACCAGATCAGAGCAATTGCTCTTTTATTTGTTTTAAAGGTGGCAGATATTCAGAGCATGCCTTACTTTATTCATCCTAGCTTTCAACCAATCAGGTTCCTTGCCTTTTAGGGATAGGACTGAAAAAAATGAAACGTCTGGCCAATGACAGTCAACCATACTTTTAATCCCACCAATCAGGTGCTGCGTTTCTACAGTGTCTGGGACGATCGTGAAAGCATGTTCGGCGAGATGCGACCATACATCATCCAGTATTATCTGGTCAATGACACCGTTGAGGTCCGGGAAGTCCATGAGCCCAATGATGGTCGCGATCCATTCCCTCTTCTCCTCAAGCGTCAAAAGTTGCCGAAAGATCGTTACAACGTCGAATGTACGTATTGAAAAGCTTAGTTTTTAGCAAACCTTACCTTTTAAAAATGGAAACTTTTTCTGAATGCAGAATTCCCACACTAGTACTCATTTGGATGTTCGCTCCGAACAACCCAAACAGTACGTTTACTCAAGTCTAATTGAAAGTTGATCTAGAATTTCAATAATTCATGAACAATACAAAACCCTAACTTTTAAAACCATCACAGGAAATGCATAGCCACAGTTCATTTTCCTCAAAATGGGTGGAGACAGATTACACTTTGGTATCTTTCTTCTAATTATTTCACAGCGTCTTTCCCCGCTGTCGTCATGGAGTTATCTGACCACGAGATCAAGCAATGGTGTACACCCGAGGACTTCATGATCGGCAAGAGTGTCTTCATCTATAACCGGCCCTTCTTGATCTATGATATGGACGAGTTCACACGCGCCTGGATGCACAACAGGTACGGCATGCGTGACTTCACGCCGGTGGAGGTGACAGGACAGGCGAAGCAACTGCCGTCTCGGGTAAGGGATTTCAGACAACTCCTCTCTGTTGCCCAGTGCTGGTGAATGCTTCAAAACTACTTCACATGCATTTTTCACTGTCAAAAACACTTGTTCATTACTTTCGCCACAAATCACATTTAAGCAATAATAAAAGAATGGCAGGTCATGTACAAATAGCTTGTGGCTTCATTTAAGATCAGGGCACTTGTAATGTGTATGTCAAGACTTGTAAATAGTTGTAAAGCCTGTCATGAGAACTTGTAGAATAGTTGACTATGCCACTCTCTTGTTAGATGTTGACATCTTTATATTTACAAATTATCAGATGTTGCCTATTGATGGTATTTTTCGTGTTTTATTGTTACTTAGTCACCATTGTTTGCAAAGATTCATCTTCCAACCAACACCTTTGGAGTTTGCCTTCAAAGAGGCCTCAGAAGTGATTTCATTGAGTCTTTACAGCTCTCGTCAACTTGTCAATGGCAGCATTTTTGAGACACTTGGTAGTAGTAATCATATTGGTCTTTTAAAATCCTTTGTGTCACATTTGATCTAATTTTTACACGACTAAAAATGACAAATAATATTAAACCGGTCACATGGGACTGAAACCTTTGCTTCCATGGAATATCTCAATAGTCTTCCATCCCTACAGAATTAACATTGTTTCAAAGCTCAAACAGAACTTAACTGTTTCTGGACCAATGTGGCCTTGTACCGAGTTCTAGCAACTGAGAACCTTAATGTAATTTTTATATAATCTTATTTTTCTTTCTATTCTGCAGAATCTTCCACCATACAATGGTTTTGGTTCCTTGGAAGATTCCCTGCAGTCTTGCCTGTCTCTGGTACCCCAGCCACCCAAGAAAGACTTCATCAAGATGTTGGAGAATGACCACAAGCAGCTACGCTTTGAAGCTGTGCTGGTGAGTTTTTGGGGCCATACTTGTCAAATTACCCACCATAAATTTTATCAGTACTGTGTACCATCCATCGACTTATAAAAACAATAGATTTCTCTTTTTGACTCAACTGGTTTTATCTGAGTAAAGAAAAGATAGACAGATATTTACTCTTTTAGATTTGAGATGCTCTCAAAGCACATTTCCATTAAATCTGCACTTCAAATTATGTCACCTATTTTCCTTCACTTAAAACCTGTCATTCTACTCAGTTCCTGTTGTTACCCATTTCATTCAGGATTCTGTCAAGCCTGAGGATCGCGGTCGGCGTTTCATCATCTCTTACCGTCTCGCTGATGACATGGTCACCATCTTTGAGCCCCCAGTCCGCAACTCTGGCATCATCAGCGGCAAGTTCCTGGAGCCGACCCGCGTGACCAAGCCAGCCTCCACGCCTGACAACCCCGAGTTCTATGGCCCACAGGACATGTACATCGGCGCGATCATCCAGGTGTTCAGCCATCGCTTCCTGATCACCAACGCCGACAATTACGTCCTAACCTACCTAGAGGCTCACCAGAGCGACTTCCCCGGGAGCGAGAGGACCATCGAATCCATTCGCCTGAAGAGATCACTCGGGGAGCCAGCGGCAAGAACTTCAGTCAAAGGTGCACCCATGAAGATCAAACGAAGGTGAGCTTTGTCAAAAGTTCTGCCTGTCTCTTGTCAGTTTTGTTCTTCGTTTTATACTCAGTTCTACAAAACCTGTGTTCATGTACTTACTGTTATGTGTTACCCTTTCTGCAGCATACAGTCATGTTCACAGCTCTGCCGATTTGTTTTAACTTTATATTTTGTTTTTTTAACGATGCAGTTCCCATCTACCCTTATACAGCTCTAATGTATAAGTCCACAGTTCTTTCTGGTGTCTCATTTCTTGTTTTGATTCTCAACTGTAGTTCTGTTTTCAGTTCTACCGTTCTATTTTGCAGCCCCCCCCCATGAGCAATACTTGAAATGACCCCTGACCTATAACCTTCTAACCTTTTTCTCCTCACCCCAGTCCCGGTGACCTCAAGAACCTGATCGAAGAAGTCAAAGCACAGCTGCGTAAGGACAACTACATCAACTTCAACTCTCTGACGGAGGCATTCCTTCAGTATGATCGTGACCGCTCCGGTTACGTTGACATCGGAGAAGTTAAGAAGATCTGTCAGAAGCAGAACCTTCCCCTGGATGATGATCTAATGGAAGCAGTAAGCAGTTTGTCTTTCTTGAATTGAAACTGGGAAATCTAAGAGATTTAGCAAGCCTTCAAGAGGTGGGTTAAGTCAGGCTACAAGAGATGTGTCAAGCATAGACGTAAACCCAAGTCCTGAGATTTCAGTTTGGATTTCAGTCACACACTTGTCTATGGGAAATAAGTTTAGCCGTTAACCAATGGCTTGTGTAGCACCATGTATTATTGTGAGTCATAGCCAAGACTTTCAGACACGGCTGAAGACTTCAGACACATTTCTCCAGCTCCAGCAATAGCACAAGGTGTTACTACTCTACACATATTTCCAGATTAAACTGACATGTAACAATGTTGGTTGTTGAAATAATGTTCCTTTCAAAACTTGAAAATATTTGAATCAATATTTGACAATATTAAGGACAAGGAATTTCCAGATTGTGAGAAAGCTAGCAAAATGGAAGTTTACTGTTTTCAGCTCATACTGGTCATCTCTATAAGCCCCACTCTCTGTCGGCATCTCTTCAGTCTCCTGACGACGGACAGAGCATACTGTCCAAAACGTTGAGTTCCTCACGGTTCTTTTCAGAACCATACAGACTCACAAAAGAGATCGTATCCTTGCATGGTGCTACCGCAAGCTTTCCACCTTACTCGTCATCTAATTTCGTTCCTTTTCTGTTTGTACAGTTGATTGCCGAGTGTGGAGGAGACGAACAAGGAAGAATAAAGCATGCCGAGTTTATGCGATTCCTCACCTGGGATTAGAACAGCCAACAATGGCACAGTACTGGATTGGGAACAGCCACTGCTATAAAATTGCATCAGTCATAAAGCAGAGGATGCTTGACTTAAAGCATCTGACGTATGATAACTAAATTGAAGCTTGATTTGTGGCAGACACTTGTTGCATCAAGTTTAGAGTAACCGCACTTTCTCTGCATTTAATTTGGTGTTTTGCATTGACACTCCATCAAAATGAGGAATGCACTTTCAAAAAAATCTTGTCAAATTTTGTAGTTGAAACCAAGCCCTTAGTTCAGCTGTAAGACAGAGATTAAGGCCACGCAGTCGTCAAGACTTATTCTCAGAAAGGCAGCCTCTTAAGTTGGAAATTATCAGTAAAAACATATTATCTGTATTTGGCAGAACTTTGAGGTAACATGGCAAACCCAGTCTGATTTTACAATAATACCATCATTTCTAACCACAATTATCACATGGTTGTCAAGTACAGAACAGCTCTGTCAACTTATTCCTCATTCTGACTGAGCAAAGCATGCATGCACCAGAATTCGTGACCATTTTCACATTCAACTGGCTAAGAAAGATCTACATTGGTGGGAAAAGCTTTGTTGGAAAGATTTTTTCCTCAAGTTTTGAGAAAGCTTGAGCAAAACAAATCCAAAGTACATGTACAATTTCTTTCAATGCATTCGTATACAGTACTCTTCACACGCTAGAAAATACTGTATTTTCAAAGTGCAGCATGCGAGTCAATAAATTATTTGGTGTGAATTCTGCATTTTTCTGCTAACAGCAAGGATTCTATTTCCAAGAGACGTCTGGAATTCAAATGAAATGGTATAATATTGTGGTTCCATTGTTTATAGTTTGTAAATACATGTATTTTTAAGAATGTTTTGATGTTTTCCCCACTGTATAAAATGTCAGGAGTGTTCAAGAAATATTGTGTAAAGCTCTGAAAAATTCAAAGTCTGTTTCAAAACCTACAAAATGGATTAATTTTCATAGTGATTTGCACTCGCATAACTTTCCGTCCATTATCACTTTCTAATAAATTCCGTCCACACTGTATGGTCCAAAAGAATGTGTGTTGCAAGATACAATAAAAAATGGTTTACTTTGAATTCAGGAGGCTGTGTGTTTGTGTTCATACTTTGCCCATCTTACTATGAATTCAAACCCAGATCAGAGAGACAAAAAGTAGACAGAATAAGGCAAGTACCACACTGCCTACATGACCATGCAACCTCAGTGAGAGATGTCTTACAACATTCACTCACAATTACAATCATTTTTCAACTTTTGAAAGTCAAAGTCTACGACTAGTACCTGAAAGAGGGAATTGAAATGAGAGACTTAGAGATGCTTGGTGGTGGTAAACAAGCGGTTCTTTCTCCACAGTTGCGCATGCTCAGAGCACAAGGGACCAGTTTGTCAGCTGCCACCAAGTATCTAAAAGTCCCCCATTGAGATCATAATATCCTGCATGGATGCATAGAGACACAAATTTTGTGAGAGCAATATTTAAAGGATTCCTTTCCGTGAAGAGACGTAATGAAGAACAGTGGGAAACAAATGGTCTGGAAACAGAAGAGAGAAAAACCAAACTCGATCTTCCAAACTGAGTGGTATATTTATTGATTAGAAATAAACATCAATCCATCTCAGATTAATTTATACTATCCATACAATGATTGATTTTTCCCATTATTTCACTTTCTGTCATTTTTCCATCATGACTTTTTTTTTCATGTTTTACAATACGAAACAGAAGGGAAAAACCAAATATAATTTCCACTCTACAATCCCAGCCTTCACCGCTGAGGAAACACAGGTGGTAACAATTTTATACACATAGGCATTTATCCCAAACCTTTTCACCAGAGGGCGCTTTCTCAAAACAGCAGCACAGAGGACTGGGCACCGTTATGGTTTGCAAGAGTTTTTGATCCCTCCAGAAGTACATAAATTTCAGAGTTGATAAACACTGGGCAAAATTTACTTGCCTAAACATTTGCTCAGAATTCAAATGGTAAAAATGCTCCATAAGCTGTTCATTGGCCATCATCAAAAGCGCCCCCTATTGACCATTTCCTGAAAGTCTTATTGCTGGCATACCCTTGTCATCCAATCTGGTCAGTCAATGTTTGTAAGTCTGACAACACCACAACTTGTTTCACCCAAAACTCCTGAAAAACACAAGACCTTTAGCCCAATATTGAAAAACAAAGCCCCCAATAAAGTAAATCCTACTTTCACAATATCACAATGGTAACATACTGAACGTATGTGTTTCGTATTTACAAACTTGATTCCACATAAGCCACATTCACATTCTGTTGGTCGAATCTCACTTAAAGTTGGCACCAAATTACACCTCTTCTAAAAACATCCTGGATGTTTTGTAAAATCATGACTCACACAAACAACACAGGATCTTTTTATTTTTTTTTTCTTTAAACACATTAACAAATTAAAAATGGACCACAGACATGGATCAAACAAGTTAAAAATTGAATTTATGGATGGACGAAACAATGCAATATTTCTGACAGGAAGAAAAACCCCAGTAGTATGCGCTGGCAAACCTGTAAAGCTTTCCAATCATCAGACAATGTGGCATCTTTCAAGAAGAATCATTACTTGACCATTACCCCAACACATTCCTTGAGTTAAGGCACCAGTACATATGGTCCTTTATGCACGGTCACATCCCTTCAAGTTTCAAAGAAGTAATCCACCCGACTGTAATCACACTGATCTCCTGGTCTCCACACTCTGCTAGGACCATTAAGACTTGTCAACCTCAAATCTCTCCTTTTTCACAGAAATGTGAAATATCCATGTTTCAGTTGACACTTTCAAAAGAAATCATGACAGATCTTCTCTTTTACCATTTTCTGTACTTTGGATTCAAACAATATGGACACTCACTTAACATGTATATCGGCATTTTGTCCAAAAACAAAAAACAGTAAATAACTACAGCTTTGGTCACTTTTTATCTGGGTACCTTTCTCAGCTTCAAGCACTCACAAAAATCTGACAATAAAAATTAACCGTCAGTGTGATGGAACCACTGAGCCACACAAAAAATTTCAAGAATCCATACATAAAAATTTCTAACAAACATCACATATCTACCAATAAAGAGTTTACTCCCCAAAACAAGGCCTGGTTCAAATTATAAATTACAGTCGAGTTGTATCAGAAAGTATAAATAGATTTTACTCAATCACTGATTTTCTTTTTCTTTTCTTTTTTTTTTGGTTTTTTCTTCTTTTTTGTTAAGTTTTTAAAGATGAACTTTGCAAGGATTTTGATGATCATGTGTAATTCAGGCACTATTTCGATTGACAGTCTCATCTTGTTCAATTCAATCTTTACAATTTCCAAATGAATCCAAAATTTAGGGCAAAACGATATGAATTGGAGGCTCATCTGCAAGTCAACTTTTAGTACATGTACAACGGATCTAAAGATAAGTCAGTATAAAGAGATATCTGATTAAATAAAGCCAACACGCACAGAATCAGAGAAAACGAAAGTTATGCAATATATAATTTTATCGTCTAATGTTGGGGATGTGGTTTTTGAACTTTGTTAACCCTTTCACGGCGGGATTATTTTGACCGCGACTGCTGGGCTGTGGTATCCCTTGAATAGAGGGCTTTGTCCAGCAGGCCCCATTGAACCAGCAAAGGGGTTAATGGTGTCCTTAAAAAGTTCCAGCAACCCAACAGCACTTGGCAGCACATGAGCAAATAAACAACAACTACAAAAATAACTGAAACAATTACAATAAACTGATGAAGGAAAACAGCCCCCCAAAAGCCGTAGGACAACTTGGAAATGGGGAAAAATTGGAATTAGAAAAGAGCTTGGCTCAGGATCCTGGAAAATACCTGATCTTAGAATGGATTATCAAAAAAAGTCATTTGTGTTTATCTCATATGACTTCTGTTGTTGAAATGTACATGTACTTGTCTAAAAGTGCAAGGCACATAAATGTCTTGTCAGCTCTCTTAACATTTTGTGCTGGAAACAGCTTTTTCAGAATCTCCAAATTTTTTACCTCAAAAATCAGAAGAGATCCTCCAATCTTAAAGTTCTTCAAATCAATCCCAATTAAATGACTCCTTGAGTGTTGTGTGATATATATATATGAATAGATATATATATATATATATGTTTGTATAATACAGAACAGAGCCGGCCAAATCTAGTTTAAAGTGGTTACTGTGTTACTGGACATATCTGATTGGTTGGACTGAGGAATTCCTGAACCAGTTCAAACTTGTTCTCAGAACAAAGTGTGCCATCAAGTGCCAGAAACATGATCTGAATGTGCTCTCCTTGCTGTGCTCAGGCTGCTGACCGGGACAAACCAGTCAGATCCGGTTCCCCCTAATTTCAATATAAAAAAAAACAGCACTACATTGGACCAGACAGACGCAATCAACCCAGTTCCCCACAAAAAAAGGTCATCCAAACACAACCCAACCCCCTTAAATTTCTGATTAGTATATATTCCACGTTTATGTACAACCCTTTTCTTCATGTTGTCTTTTTGTTTGCTGTGAAATTCCATCTGTACACTATACAGCATTGATATTAAATCAGTGAGTGGACAACTAGAATTTCAATGACTCGGTTGGCACAATCTACACAACTTTATATATACCATTATTTAACAAACAATAATATACATCTCAGTAATAAAACACAATCAAAGTAGATTTTTTTTAATTTTCCATACTGTAAAATGTCTTTATATGATCATGTGCCTAAAATACAAGAAAAGGATTTGTACACAGTGGATAGGGTGGGGGCAAAGGAAGGCATGACAAAAAAACAAAGCAAGTTGAACAATTCTGATTCAACCAAGCTTGCTATCACAATTTAATATCCATCTGTCATCCAAAACACGATGTGTTTCCTTGTGATCACTTGGCTGAAAAGATGACCGAACAACTCCGTCTTCTGTTTGGTTTGTTTTTTCTTTTTATTCAAGTAGAAGTTTCTGCAAGAGGCTGTTGGACTTGCCATCTCCTTCTCCACTTTCTTGTTGGTTCTGTTGGGGAAGAAAAAACAAAGTCAGTGCTTACTGTTATGATTACAAAGGGTTTGTCGTCAGTGGTTTGTGGAATATTATGGGAGGGGTGCAACCCACAAGGACCACACCTAAACTAAGCCACACCCAAACTGACCCACGCAGCAAAAAATAGGTACGTGTACACCAAATATTGGGCTGTACACATATTGTGTCAAACCCATATGAGAAAAAATGGGATACACCCACACTGAACCACACCCAACCTGAGCCACACCCACCTGCTCCTCATTTCCATACTGCTGTTGCTGGGGCGGGACCATCCCCCCACCCCCGCCCGTCTGCTGCATCTGTCCGCCCATTGGCTGGCCCCCAACCCCTCGACCGACAGCGCCAGACGTAAGCTGGTTGCGGAAAAGGTTGGTCACTCGGGTGTTGGCATCAGGTGCGGTCTGTGCTCCAGATATTTTGTAGAATTCCTGACAAAGCAAAAAAATGCAAATTCCACACACAACAAGTTCCAGTAAGTTCAAACAACCAATTGAAACTATCCACACCAGGATGCAGGTGGTGAAATGTCACGACAGGTATTACTTTGTTGAAGTAATTCTCTGTAGATTTTTGCTTCCCATGTAAATGGGCTCAGCCAACATATACTTCTAGCATTTCTGCATTAACATGAGGTCCTGGACTTTTTTTTCCCCTTGTTCCCGTTCTCTCTCTTTCTTCTCACCTACCTGGTACCGCAGCTTGGCCTCTTCATTGGACTGCATCTCGGCAAAGGTTTTGAGGGGGTCAGTGCCTGAGGGATTGCCACCGCTGTTGCTGTTGCTACTGCGAGAGGTCGCGGTGCTGGTGCTATCCGGCTGGCTGGTGGCATTGGTGGTGGAGCTGGCGATGGGATTCTGACCATCAGGCTTGAAGAATTCTGGGAAAGAGAGATTGGGGAAATCAAACTCAAAATCAATGATTCACAAAGGGATTAGGTAGAAAAAAATAACAAATCTAACACATCTCCAAACCATGTTTATCCTTTTTTTTAAACCAGTAAAAAAGTTATCAGTGAGAGACTTGACTTTGACCTGCCGAGTGGCAGCAACCATACAAATCCCATGGGACCTGTCTGGTACTATTTACAAACAAGCTCAAACGTGACGCAAACAATACCAAAGGACTAGATTGCCATCACCAAGTATAACTACAGCCGAACCTCCTTACTAAGAGCACTGTTAACCACTTCGCGCAGGGGAGCCCAGTTTCGGGTATGTTTTCTTTATACGCAATGACGGGCTGCCAGAAATTGGACAAAAGAGCCTGGCCTTGTAACAAAAGACCCTACTCAGAGCAAAAGACTGAACTGCTGGGAATTGCCAACATTTTTTCAGTTGTCAATAGCGGAGGATATCCGTCATTGTTTTGAAAGATTATTCCACTGTTTGTGGCATTCAGTACAAGCGGATTACCACTGGGGACAAAAGCGCTCCAGCCCTCCAGTGATGAGCGATACAATACTGCTACATGCTAATCTGGCCCGTATTGAAAAGACGCCAGCAGCGCACTGTGCCAGATTCGGGAACAAAAGAAAACTACATAACGCCGCACAATCTGGACTCTTTCTACAAGGTGACAGGCCTGGCTGAAATACCGGTACCCGGGTGTCAATAGATGTTGTCTGTCAGATTAGAGTAGCCACCAGACAGTCACTCGATGGGGTTTAGGCATTCAGGAAAAAAAGATATGATTTTTTAAAGAATTTTGAAAACAGAAAAAAAATTACAAATCACCTGGCCCTGCAGAACAAACACGGATAAATGGGCCCAGCACCAAGTGATCAATGCAAGATTCTGCTTAATGCAAGATTCTGCTGATAGCAAGGAAAATTTCAGGTCCCAATCTGTGTTCTTCATTGTTTTCATTTCTGATAATACAAGGTTCCAGTTATCTCTGAAATCTCCTACTGTTTGAACTTTCAAATCAAATATTGCATAATCAACTATTTGAATGGTCCTTGTGCTTCCTGTTCCTTTCTTTGATTACTCTACGCAACGTTAAGGTCCTTTGACTTACCAGGCTCAAAAAGATCCATCGACAGGCTCAACATGTCTAGGTTGGAAGGGTTAGTGCCAGGCGTGGATCGGTTCTTGTTACTGCTGCCGGCGTTGCTGTTGTTGCCGCTGTTGCTGGTGCTACTCACCGGGGCCAGGTATGAGTTGCTGGTGTTTGTTGCGTCCCCCGGAGCCTGCTGCTGCTGTTGCTGCTGTTGGCCGCCCAGCGCCATGGTGTTCTGGCCCAGCAGGTTGGATGCCACAGGGATGGAAGAGTTTGTGGAGCCCTGGAGTGGGTACTTTGGTGGGGTCTGAGATGGGCAAACGAGGGTATGGGGTTACGGTAGAGCAGCACAATCATGCACTTCATTGACAGTCAGGCTATGGATTCTAATCGTAAGCCTTGCTACTCTGCTCCGCTTGGGCTTTCCTTGTCACTTTACCATTATTGTTTTGTGTCCAGCTATGCCCTCTTGACCATTCTAACGAGCGCCATGTGACTGTGAAAGTGTTACATAACACTTGGACACCAATGCCCCTGTTGGCTGTGACTATTCTGTGCAAGTCTTGAGCAATGTCCTCAGGAAGTCTACAATTTGTACCACACTTGGTGTCTTCCATCATCAAACAAGGTTGTTTTTCAAGTGAATGAGGAATACATTATGATAGATGATAAATTACGGGCTCAAAGTCACTAACTAATATTCTAATGTTCACTTTGAAGTGACCACGGGGGTAATTCCTTATTCTGCTGGGGCAGCATTTGTGGAGCACTGATACGAAAGTTGGGAAATTTGATATTCAGATCAACCGTTACTATTCCACACGACCTACTAACTGAATAGTCGGTCACTTTGATATAGCATGAAAAGTGTAAGACCTTTTAAGGCAATTTAGGAATGCTGAGTTGTGCGACTTACAGACATCATGTTTGGGTTGGCTGGCAGGCTATCTCCCCTCCTAAGCCTTCTATTTGTCATATTCTGCAAGTCTTGTGTGCCGCCAACTTGATTGGCCATCCCTCTCATCATCTCGCCCGACTGTGGAAGACCACCTACCCCTCCCCCGGCTGGACCAGGGAACATCTGGCTCTGGTGCGGCGGAGGCAAGGGCGCCCTCTGTATGGCGCCACCATTGGGCCCGCTCCAGCGCATCTGGGTGCCAGAGGATGGGGAAGAGAACATGGGCGTGCTTCCGCCACTACCTCCCATTTGGCCTGGCTGCATGTTCATAGAGTTGCCTGAGAAGTGGGGCTGCATCCCGCTGCTGCCACCGAATTGGCTCCCGCGTAGGTTGTTGCCTTGGAAGCCTCCCTGCTGCTGTGGCTGCTGCTGCTGCATGTACTGGTTGTGGCGGTTGGCGGGGCTGAGGCTGTTCGCATTGCCACCGGAGACAAAGTTAGTCGTCGGGAGGCTGAGGGAACGGGTAAGGGGTGGCGTCTGCTGTCGTGGGTTTCCCAAGTTTGGCCGGGACATGTTGGGATTGAGACCAATGCCGTGCTGCCCGCCGGGCATATTGGGGTTCATCCCCATGCCTTGCTGGTGCTGCATGGGTCCCATCATTCCAGAGTTGGGCATCATGTGCTGGGGATTCCCTGGCATATTCCCCCCTCTGCTTACCATCCCTCCGGGCCCGTTGAAGTCCTGGAAGTTAAAAATGTTCTGGTTTGTCCCACCACTGCCACCAGCATGCCCCATGCCGCCTTGGTAGCCACTGCCTCCCTGGCCCGGCCGCCCCTGCTGCATCATCTGGTTGCCAAACATGAAGTCCGGTCCGCCCCGACTGGAACCAGTTTGGCCCGGGAAGGGCTGGTTCATGCCCATCTGTTGCCGGGTGTCACTGCCCATCATTTGGTTCCCCCCAGGCATGGGACGGTTCCCCACACCAGGCATCTGTGGTCCATAAGGCCCTGGGGACTTCTACAAAAGCACAAACCAGCAAACCAACGTTTGAACCCCAGGTTATTTACTTTTTCTTCCAGACTATTATCACAGTTGTTCAATACTCCTGACACCGATAATGTTGGTTGCAAAGATCATGTGTGGTGAAACTAAAGTGATCTATCTCTGTGGCGTGGTCTGCACATAAGACGCAGACCTTGGGTTTTTTTTTCAAGATATTCCTATAACCACCATCCCATGGGAAAAAGTCAGAAAAGAATGACAGAGACTCATTGCAAAGTGTTCTCAATCCAAGTGATTTTCAGTAAAAAGCTCCCTAAACTCCACTTAGAAACAATTCCGGTGTAGAGAAAATGGCTTGACATTTACAGGTTATGCACATGAAGATGAATTTCATGTACAGTGTTTTTGCTTTATGTGATGAATGAGTAAATGGTATGATATCACTAATGGAGAACAGTTTGAGTGTGGCGAAAATGGCCAAGACAGAAAAATGAAGCAATGCAATCAAAGCATATCCAAAGGGCTCTGCTGCCAAAATCTCCCTACCTGTATACTAACATTGGGGGCGAGTACCCCACCAGTAGGGTTCAGCACATCGCTGAGTTTCTCCTGAAAGGCTTGCGTATCTAGTGAGGGGAAGCCTCCACCCTCAACCTGATAGGAACCAAACAAACAACAAAACATAACTCCAGGATGCAATTCATCCATTCTTGACCGCTCTATGACGTCATCTGAAACTTTCTCACCTATAATAATTATTCAACATCAAAACTTCAAGGTAACTTCTGGCACTTCTGGCAGCTTTCAACAAGAAACTTTACCAAAACTTGTCTGAAAAAAAAATGCACTAGAGGTGAACTGTGTAACTATTTCTTGACTTCCAATTTCTACTGGATCATTTTTACCACCAAAGAGCCCAATGTTTCAGTGCTCAATTGAACTCCTGTTCTATAATTTGTGAAACGTTCTCCTCCTTGGACACACATGTACCTGCCAATATTGAAAAGTCAGAAATGAGGATACCCATTTAATAAGCCCACAGCAAAACAAGCAGCCACGTGAGAGAAACTGTTTTCGTACACATGTACAAACATGTTTGTGTGTGTAACAACTGCCATATTGACAGCAAATAGCGCCCCTTTCTCTCCAAACAGTGCCCCTTCTTGCTGGGACTTCTTATTTTTATTTCTTTTTATTTCAATTAATGGAAATAGGAACGCTCCGATTATTTGTGGTCTGAAAACGTCAAAATCTGGACAGCTCCAATTAAATCAGAACGGTTGGCAGGTATGCTAGGACGGGGCAAGCAAGATTCTGTTTCCACAAATGTGCGAATATGGTCACCAACCTGTGGTCCTGTGAAAGTCTGCTGTTGCTGCTGCTGTTGCAGCATCATGAGGTGCTTCTGTTGCTGCACCATGCGCTGCTGCTGCTGGTTCTGTTGCATGGGGTTCATGACAGGGCTGCCGGCACCCACAGGCATGCCCATGGGTGATGCCTGCTGTTGTTGCTGCTGCTGCTGGGGCTGGGGCTGCGGAGGGGGTGGCTGATTACCACCCATGAGCTGGTGATTAGCAGTGGCCGCGTTGGCCACGTTCATATGCTGCTGTCTCATCGCTTGCTGCTGTTGCTGGAGTTGCCATTGCCTGGGGAGACAGTTCAGAGAAGGATGCAGAGTTTGTAGGGTTAAAACCCCAAGTTCAATATGCCACTTGTTTCATTTTTTATTCTTCTCAATAAAGATAACCTTGCTCCTTAAACTTTCGATACATGCTCCAATGTAGCATTAGATTGTAACCATTCATTTCCATTTTCACTTGAAATTCTTTTGCAGGTCCACAACAGGCTTGGGCGAATCCACACTGGAATCGGGTAGAATCAGTTTCCTCATTTGCAATCAGAGTCGCGATTCCACTTTTTTGAGGAATCGAATCCAGGCCACTACCGATTCCATAACCTTGAGATCTGATTCCAGGAATAGTCCAGCGATTCCAAAAGACTGTCTTTTAAAACGAATCCATGTTTGAAGAAATGTGTGGTTTTATACCAAATAAAGGAACCTAAACCGCAGGGCTTTATTTTTATTGCCAAAAATTGAAGTCCATGATGAGACGTGGCCCACATGCTTTGCAGAATCATAGCAGCATCACAGCAATCACGGCGTGCAGTAATCTGACCCATTCGTCCGCAGCATACCGATGGCCCACTGTTGGCTTCCTGCCAATTGTGACTCCTTAACATGCTGAGCATTTGGGTGCTACATTGTGCGCGATGAAAATTAAATCAGAGTTTTTCCCGGACGCCAAATTCCTTGCAATGAAATTTCTTGTCGCTGATTACCCTCTATTTCTTATTGGAAACTCAATTGCAACATCTGAAAGATTGACACCAATTAGAAACTCAATTCTTGGAGTGTTTATGTCTTCAAAAAAATCTTCCGCTGGACCAACGTCGCAGTTTAATCTTCAAGAATCGAGCAAACTGTAGTGAAAAAAGTAGGCCTACTTCGTCACATATTATAAAAATTTGCTCAGAACTGAAAAAACCTAAACAATGCAGCCCTTAGCCTGACATGAATTCTTGCTTTACCATGAAAAACTTGAAACGCAAGTAATTGTTGAAGCATTTGAAAACTTCCATGGTGCCAGCATTTGGAAAATTCCCCAAATCCCACAAACCTTGACATAAAGTCAGCAATCCGAAGTTATTTAAAGTCAAGCAGGGTTTGACAACTAAACCTAAACCATTCATAAGAGAGAGAAGCTAGCGAAATCAGCAATGGTATCGGTCCTGGTGGAGATCGGTGTTCATACATGTGTTTCTAATAGTCATGCATGCATCGACCGCTCTCCGTTGGTGATTGGACATGTGGTTGCGGGCCGGCTGCAAGTGTTTCTTTGCTGATGCTTCATTTCCGAGTCTGTGAGACACAATTACCGTCATTCACTCTGCCAAAACACAAATCTTTGACTACTTTTCATCCTTCATTTCTGCCATAAAGAAAAGAAATTTTACTCAACCTATTGAGTGAATTAAAGGTCAAATGAGCGATTCTCAAAGTTTTCCATCTCCAATTTGAAACAAAGACTAATGGCCTCGTGTTGAAGCTGGTAGTCGGCACACACATAGGAAGAATGTAGCTTTAGGCATGTTCACCAGCGATTGCACGAACAGACACAAGCAGTGCAGTGTGGAGCGCGAGTAGTCCAATTTTTGATGGAATTTACAATCGAAAAATCGAGAAAACTATAAAAGTTCATTGTCAGTGGAATAATGTCACTTTTGGGGGGACTTTTAAGGAAATAAATATTTCTTCAGTACGTTTTTGGCAGAGTAAAAATAAAGGTACATACATTAAGTTTCTTTCTTGTCAAATGCGCATATTTGAACTCATGGTCACTTCTATAAAACTGAAAAAAATTGAAAGCCGGCGGGCTACGTAGATTGATAATCTTTTCCCATAAATGGCGTGCTTCTATGAAGTTAAAATTTCCAATTTAAATATCTGTATTCCAGGATAATGATAATAAATCTTTCCTGTTTCTGATGCAATAAAAGAGGATAATTTTTAATGACACATATAAGTATTCAGCAAACTTACAAAGTGCATTATGGATGTAATCTCGGGCATGCTCAGCATGGCATTCGCACACATGTGTAAAAATTGGAATCGATTCCTGGACGGAATCGGAATCGATTCCAACAATGCTGGAATCGCCCAACATTAGTTCACAACGAACCACGCATTGAATTGTATACATGATCTGACTATTTTTCAAACTTTTCATAGTTACAAGTCTTTCTTTACAAAGCTATTCAAAGCTATTCAAACTCTCAGAATGAAAAGGTCTGATCTCACAGACTGTAATTCCTTTCATTTGAATTCAGGAATTCACTTGTAGAGCGGAATGTCTTGGAGGGTTCAAGCCAGTTCAAACATACCTAGGGATTACAGTTCGGGCATGACATTATGTTGAAAGTTGAAACTCGCACTAAGTTCTCACCTCTGTTGCTGCTGTTGTTGCTGATGCTGCTGTAGCTGCTGCTGCTGTTGCTGCTGCTGTAGCTGCTGCTGTTCCTTCAAGCGAGACCTCATGAGGATGGCTTGCCGCAGCTGCTTGGCCGGTGGACGGGTGAACCCCCCGGGGCCAGTGGCACTGCTCAGTGGAGGTGGCACCTGAGAGGGTTTGCCTGGCCCGGATGCCAGCTGCTGCTGCTGCTGCTGCTGCTGTGGCTGGAGCGGCATGGAGTGAGGTGGGACCGGACCATGCTGCTGCTGGGGTGGTTGCTGTGTGAACTGGTGCTGCAGTTGCTGCTGCATGGGGTTCATCTGGTTGTACTGCTGTTGATTGACAAGAGACACATCAATGGAGTCAAAACTGGTCAAACTTTGGAAAAGGGCTAAGATTCAGGGAGACAGAAATGCACATTATCAAGCAGCGCCTAACGAAGTTTGTTATAAATCAAAATTTTTTCCTAAGGAAACGAGGGTTCAAATAAAATGTGGCGATTTTGAAATAGCTCACCATTGGTTGTGTGCCCTGCAGTTGCTGTTGTGGATGAGGGAAGCGAGGCTGGCCAGGGCCAGTCGATGCGTTTGGCCCCGCCCCCATCATTTGCATATCTACCATTCCACCCTGTCCCATCCTAGCCCCACCCCCTCCCATGCCTATCATTGAATGTGGCTGCTGCTGTTTTGGTTGTGGCTGCTGCTGTGGTTGCTGGTGACTCCTTTGCTGCTGCTGCTGGGGGGGATGTTGTTGTTGCTGTTGCTGTTGCTGCTGCTGTTGCTGCTGCATTCCCATGCTGGTTGAGGACTGGGTCTGGTAGCTGCCAGATTGGGGGGGCTGTGTTGATGTCTGGCCGCTCAACATACCCTGCAGCATGTTGCTTCCATTGGGCTGAGCTTGGTCCATTCCCACCAGGCCATTCAGCCCTGCGTTGCTGTCCATGTCAAAGTTGCCCTCCAGCTCTGGTAGGAAGTTACTGCTGTTGAGCACCTGTTGCAGCTGTTGCAGCAGGTCAGCGTCTTCCTCCGACAGGATATGCTCGTCGCCATTGTTGCCGGACAAATTCTCCTGAAAGGACAAGGGAGGTTGACATGAAGCAGCTCAGCAAGGAAACTGGCTTAACACACTAAATATTTGCTCAGCAGGAACAGGTTACCAGTCGTAAATTTTGTGTAAAGTACATTGCTTGTGACCGGCTCCCTGCTAATTTTTGTTACGCAGGTAATTTTTTAAAGAAATAATTTATGTGAGTGGGTTACGTGAAATTGTACCCAGATAAAGATGAATAGGAACAATTCACAATTCGGTGCACCCCCAACATTTATTATCTCCCAGAACTGTCTCTTTACAATTCTGGTATTCTATGCAAAGGCCAGTTCGGACTTCACTCGAAAGCCAACATAAATATGAATTTGTGACTTCAGATCAAATGTTTGCACTGCAAATTGGCAAAAATTTGATGCATTTCAACTCGAGCAAAATTTCCCTGCAAATCTTTCGTGTCATCAAAGTTGTTCGCTTTCACATTTGCTTGTGGTGTGAACTGGCCTTTACAAAAAGTAGGGCAGTCTTAACCCCTTGACCACAGGAATTTCTTTCCGAAAGCCGACTCCAAGAATTCCAGCCTCGCTTGGCCATG